TGGGAATTCTGGACGAGAACGCAGTATGGAGGGTACTATCATATGCAAAGCTGTGGATGGGCAAGTATTGTTACTCCCAACAGATCATTCATATGAAGAAGGAATAATGTTGGTGCCAAAATTGATCCTTATTGTGGAACGCCGGAATTGATGCCAATGGTATCAGACGATACACCGTCCACCACCACGTGAAGCGATCTGCCTGAAAGAGAACTCGATAAGAGATGATGGTAGTTTGTGGAGGAGTTCGTCGTGCCAAACACGGTCGAATGCTTTCGATATGTCCAAACGCGACAGCTATTTTTGTCGTCCTCTGACGGGAGCAGAAGCGAAAGCTGGTCCACAAAACTCGGATTTTTGACCAACAGCCTCATGATCTACAAAGCACATAGATATTGCCTGTTCTAGAATACTGTTTCCATATATGGGGTTCAGCACCTACACATACGCTGATGCTCTTAGATTCCATCCAGAGAAGTGCCATTCGCCTGGTGGGTGATGCCACACTCACTAATCCTCTGACCTCAATAGAAAACCATGAAAAAGTCGGCGACTATCCACTTTCCCTATAGATACTTCCACGGGAAATGTTCCTCAGAAATCTCTGCCATAATTTCAGCACTAGCAATACCCATCAGACGAACTTGACAGGCCCAGTCAGCACATCCTTCAGTCGTTAACCTTGAAAAATGTCGAACAACTCTCTTGTCTAAACTCTTTTGTCTATAGAACGGCTTTGGAATGTTATGACAATGGAAGTATTCCCAAGAAGTTAGTACTTCCAGATGTTTAAAAATTACAACACCTACCCCCTACCCTATCCTCCCTATAGGTACGCACGATGTTCCTCGAACATTATAGAATTTTCGTTCCGTGCGCTCCAAGTGATATGAAAATAAAAATGTATTTCTCTCTAGAAGCCAATATCTATCAATTATTATAATATAATCAATTATTTGATATTCTTCAATAACAATGGAAATTTCGGTATTTTTAAGTTTCTGCAAAAACTGTTCATTTTCGATATGGCGATTCAAACAAAAAGTCCCCCTACTTTCCACCATAGCATAAGAGAAGAAAAAAAGATGGGTTATGTCTAGGGTTGGGTATATAAACTTACTGATAAAATTAAATTTCTCGAATTCTTCAAATGCGAAATATGTGATCTGATTTTTCAGCATATATCCTGAAATTATCAAGTCTGACTATCCTAGATTTCGAAAAATTGTTTTTTGGAAAATTGGGCATTTGCCAAAACAATTTAAAAAATCCTGCATTTATAGTTATGCATGGCGTTTTCTTAGAAATTTTTTTTATGTCTGAATGGGGTAAAATTGGAATTTAGCATATGGTTTCCAAACATATCAAAACTATAACATTTCTACCTTATACTACTTCATTTTCTCTAGAATGACTTCAAACTGATCGGTGATGATGTTCTTTTGACCATTCTTGACTAAATGTAGTAAAAATAGCACATTGTCGTTAGGTCATACGCATGAAAGTGCTTGAATTTCACTGTAATTTCACTAGGCAAATCACCATAAAGTTTAGTTGTCATGGTGACGATTCAAAATAAAAGAATTCGATTGGCTAGAAATTACAGGTGTCAACTGCACGATTAATTTAGTTATTGAAAGCAATTTAATCAACCCAACTGTTAAATTGAGTTATATAAATTATTATCGACGCTCATTACTATGAATATTGACCAAGGTATTCACGAAATTTGATTAGGTATTTCATAAATTATGCGATATATAGATTATCTAATTTCATCTTGTTGGGAATCAAATCAAACCGCATCACCATTATAGTTCTCACTGAAAACCACGAAATCGACATATTTTTCGATAATTTTTTACACACCTTCGGATTATCGAAAACCACAACGGAAATAAGAGAAAAAGCCGATTCTGTCGACGTTTTGATTCAGTTTGTTTTCTATTCGTGGAAAGAAACAGTGCATGGTATAAAGAGTGCGAGTTTCTGTGTTTTGACAATTTTTTCAGAGCATCCGGAACCAATGCAATGAAGTTGGATATTTTATATTTGATTTTTGTGGGATATTTCATACAAGTTTCTGAGGAAGGAGGCAATGGCAAACAGTAAGTGCAAATCAATTAACTAAACCTAGTAACAGTACATATTATACAGGGTGGGTCACGGTGGATGGCCTATTAGAACTATCTGGAGAACGAAAAAACAGAACATTCTGAAAATTAGGATGCTTCCATAATTGAATATTCTCTATTCGTCTAGAATGTTTTCATCGATACAGTGTTGCCACTTCTATCAGAAACAACAAGCAACTTCGTTATATTAAATGGAGCACAATGTATTTCATTGCATAGTCAGATTCTTCCTGAAGAGCTGATTTTATCAATGTAGCACACTTGGGGTCTATATAGCAGGAATGATCACAGAGATATAGGGTGTTCAGAATCGAGATTTTCCAATTTTGGGATTTTTTTGTGTCGAAACTATTCATTATCTATCAAAACGGTTTACATGTCCCTATCTTAACTTTCGATCCACTATCTACTGACATTTAATTAGAACAGATACAGGGTGATCAGAATTCTGAATCTTGAAGCACCCTGTATTTTTTCCAATTAAATTCCAGTAGATAGTGAATCGAAAGTTGAAATAGGGACATGTATGCCATTTTGATCAATAATGAATAGTTTCGACAGAAAAAATCCTAAAATTTAAAAATCTAGATTTTGAATACCCTATATCTCTGATGTAAGCATTTCTGCTCGACCCCAAGTATAATACATCGATGAAATCTCCTCCTTAGGAAGAATTTAAAAATGCAATAAAATACAGGGTGTTACATTCGAAATAACAAAGTTGCTAGTTGTTTCTGATAGAAGTGGCAACACTGTAACATTTTAGACGAATAGAGAATGTTCAATTATGAAAGCATCCCAATTTTCAGAATGTTCTGCCTTTTCGTTCTCCAGATACTTCTTATAGGCCATCCACCGTGACCCACCCTGTATAATACTCAACGAGAGCATCATGATGACTATAGATATTACTCACGAAGATGAAAATCAGAGAACGAGTCGAAGACGATTGTATTTATAACAGTGGATGGGAATTATGCTTATGAATATGCTTACGAATAGAATAAAACTATAATACTATAATCAGTGATATTTTTTCGAAAATATTCGATTCACTCTGTATATTGGTTGAGTTTAGAATCAAAATAGATTTCAGAATCTGAGAGGAACATAATCGGCACTGTATTTAAACAAAATAAGTTGATGATGGTTGTACGAATTCGGAACGTCGCATAGAGTAATCAATATATAGGGTGTTACAAATTCGTGGCTAAACATACGATCGCGGTAACCTCAAAAGAGATAGAGTAGGTTAAATTTCATGCCCAACAATATGCTGCTTTGAAAATTTCAATTTCCGGAGATATCCGGAGAAAAAATGCATAATCATTTTTATTCATTACTAAGTTCATTTGAATAAGAGATATTTCGAAATCGATGTCACTTCATCATTGCCACTTTCCCCCTACTACAAAGTGGAATTGTCAAATTGGAAATCCGACGTTTCTTCTTCGAGCAGCCATCATCAACTTCATTTTATTAAATACGGACCTGCATTTTTTATTCAATTATTCGATAGTTTTCGATCTTCTTGATGTATCATAATATTGCTCAAAATGTTTACTCCAATGAAAATATGTTTATTAAAAGTATGGAGATACTCATCTTTGTCTAACACAGTGTTTCTGGTATTTTTGTCACTGTCTCACACATTATATTATATATATTATGTGAACCTTAGAAAATATTAGCTGACAGCTAAGTTGAATATCTGCTCTGTATTGCCACGATATTTTGTACGTTGATTTAGTATTTTTAGCCTCTAATTTTAATGCCTAATTTTTTTTTTTTTATTTTTTTTTTTCTCTTTCTTTTGTCTAGTTTAACATTTACGACAGCAATTTGAAATGGTACTTTTCGGGGTTGCATGGAAGAGCAACGATGTTGAATGTCGCCCCATTTAAAATATGTAGTTGTATTAATGATTTAGATGAAAATAAAGACCCATTATTATTATTATTATTATTATTATTATTATTATCCAGTGCGAATCACCAACAAAATTGAATTGCTCTCATTATACGAGAACAAAAATGATAATTAATCAATTGGTTATTATTTAATATAATAATATTTTTGACCTCGCCAAAGCCTTTGACACAAATGCTGGAGGCAACATCTATAGGTTACTGAAAGAATACCTGTGAGATAGAACACAAATTTGTATGGTATACCACAAGGCACGGTCCTAGGGCCGATACTGTTCTCGATACACATTGATAACTTGCTAACTTTGCAGTTGATACTGCTATAATATATTCCGCAAATACTCGGTAACTTTCACAAGAAAAGATATGAACAAAAACTTACTAACAAAAATGGACCAAAATTACCTAGTCGGAATAACAACTCAAAAATTCGTACAAATACAGAGAACCAAGAAATCATTAGGTCAACGTTCCCTGTTTCCTGTTCAACTCTTCACCAGAAATGTACACCTTCATCCTCACTATAAATTCATATGCACTGATTGAAACTGAATTAAAAATATTAGTGAAACAATTGGATAAACAGCTGATTCGATCTCTCATAAAAAAAATTCAATTTGCTGTAAATGTAAGATTTTAGTACTATTATTAGATCATTGATTATAGATATTAGTTGATTCCAAAATCATCATCATTATTTCAGTAAAAATTCAATGTAGTGTGCAGAGAATAGAATAAATTCGTTTGTTTGCATAATATATTATTATTATAGTACTACCATCAAACGAGGTAATAAAATGCCAATAATGTGAAGTTTATCATTATTGTTATTATTATTATAGCATTCTTCTAGATTGACCTGTACATATTTCCTTATAGCGTGATTTCTGCAAAGCGAAACTCATCTCCATATACCTAATTATCATGTTGTTTGCAGTGTTCACATCAAAATCCACGTGCCGCACCTGATCCACAAGCACAATCACAAGCACACGATCTACAAGAAAGTCCCAGTCCACGTAGGCGGCCACGAGAAGAAGCACGTGGTGATCCACAAGCACGATCACAACCACAAGCACAAGCACGACCACGGCCACAAGCACGGGCACCACCACAAGCACAAGCATGGCCACAAGCACGGCCACAAACACCAGGGGAAGCATCAGCACAAGCACGGTCACGACCACAAACACGGCCACAAGCATGGTCACAAGCACGATCACAAGCACAAGCATTTGATCAAAAAACAGCATGGTTATGACCATGGCCACTATGGAATCGAGCCACAAGTGAACCATTACGACAGCTACGCCATAGATCCTGTTAACTTTGATGATGATGGTTATAAATCCAGTAAGAAGTCAGTGAGGAGTGAGCACTACGAGGTGGAGCAGAAGAATCCTTATGCCATTTGGCCTGACGAGCAACACGTGGTTAAAGGGAGCTACAAGGTGCAAGAGACTGATCCGTATGACCTCACAACTACGTCATACCATGCGTATGATTCACCTGTAAGCAAAAAAATTGCTCAGGCTCTCACAAATTTCGACAGTTTCGGACGTACCAATCTTCCCAAAGGTGAGGATGAAAATGGTTATCATGTGGAGGCTGAAGGACTTGAAGGAGAAGAAGAGGCTGCAGCTGATCATGAAGACGTTGAGGAGGACGATGAGGGTAACCAAGTGCAGAACGATGAGGGTTTGGCTTACCAGAATTATGAGGATTATGGGGATAATGAGGAAAAGGTGGAACAATATACGGCAGATAGTAACCATGGGGTTGCTGATGGGAATGGGGACGAGAAATATAATTATGGAACGGAGCAAGTTGAGAAGTATGTTTTGAGGAAGGTGTATGGTAGTGAACATGGATATAGATGAGCTCACAGAAGCTATAAACAAGGTGGAGTACGGCAGACGCATGGATATGGACTCATGTGCACTCAGGGCGTTCGTCAAATAGGTCTGCACACAATGACACAAAAGACAATATGTTCTTGCGCCCCACTCTCAATGTTCCAGGACTATAAGGAAGGAAGTAATTAGCGCTTCTTCATAGTTTTTGATTATTTCAAGATTATATAATAATATCAAGTTTTGCCAACTTTATATATGAACTTATCTATTCAGAAATAGTCGACATATCAATTGCTGTAACAAATTGCATGTATGGATTGTGATTCATAATGAATTTTGTATAGGTACTTACAGAGCTATAGTAGAATCGTGGCATCGAAATATGACGATTAGATGGTTGAAAAGTCATCTCCGTCAGCATATTATGAAACAACAAAATATTATGGAAGGACTCTCACCTACAGAGTGGGCTAATAATATGGCGAAGTGAGATAACGGCTTCGCTGTTTGAGCTAGATAAACAAAAAATTTCGTGATGGTCTGTTGTATCTTTTAGGTATAGAAATATATGAATTCGATGGCAGTAATTGAAGTATTCAATTACATAACCTGATAAATATTTTCCCTCAACACATGTCATAATATAAATGTATGTACATACAGGATGTTACAGTCCCACGCTATTAGGAATGATATAAGAATAGTAAAATCTTGAAAACGGATGTTTGATTGCCGGACCCTTTGAGATCTACGAAGTAACGGTTGCGCTTGTGGTTCGAGGAGGAGTTCGATCGTTTTTTTTTTTTCGGAAGTTGGTGCTTCTCTAAAAATTTTGATTTCAGCCCACCGAGATGTAGCGTCAACAACGACTAAAAAATGAAATCCTTGAAAAGGCCCTGCGTAGTCGATGTGGATACGGACCCAATTTTCTGCTGGTAGATCCCAATGATGCAATGGTGCTTTTGAAGGAGATTTCCTAATTCCCGCACATGCTTGACAGGATTTAACCATTTTCTCAATATCTTCATCGATGTTTTTCCTGTAACAGTATCGTCTTACTAACTGTTTCATTTTTGTTATACCAATGTGGGTGCTGTGCGATTCAGAGAGAACTAACGGTCGAAGTGATACAGGAATGATGATTCCTTGTCCTTTGAATAGAATTTCGTCTACAACAGTATATTAATTTTCGGTTCGATCATGAGATTTCCGATCGTATTTGATTCTTGATAGAACTGAATCATCTGCTGTAGCGATTTATATATACTTTCATAGGTTCTATATTGGAGTAATTTTCGAAAATATCAACAATCGTGTCAATGCCAAACGCGTCATCACTTTCTGGTTCACTTTCTTCGTCAAGCAGATGAGTAGAATGCTCAGGCTTTTTCTTCTTGGCTAGAAGAGTGGAAATACACACAGATTTCACATGACCATATTTCGGATTGTTCTCGATAATCGATTTTCTCCCTTGTATTTGAACGCTTCACTTCGCTATTTCTTGTAGTTGGTTTGCCTCTGGATTGATTGATTTTGTTGATATTTGATGAAGTACTACTTGATGATATTTCATTTTATCTAATTTGAAAGATTCAATTGCTAAATCTTTTCCTACCAATTTTTCAGAAGACTTTTCTTCATTTGACTGAAGGATTTTTTCACGAATTGATGTATCTTTGACACCCCTTATGAATTGTGCCCGTAGAAAATTTTCTGAAATATTTATAACATTTCGGCATTGACAAGATGTTATAAAGTCGCAATCCAGAGTGGAACTTCTCAAATTCGTGGTGAACTCAGAAATTGATTGATGTTCTTGTTGAAATGTTGTTGAAAACTTATGTTGCGACACTAGCACGTTCTTCTTTGGGAACAAATAATCCTCCAGTTTCTTAACTAACCCGTTGTAGTCGAATTCATTAGGTTTTCTAGGTGCTTCAAGTGCTGATAGGAGTGAAAATGTTGAAGAACCAATGGATGTTAATAGCAATTCAGCCGCGAATTTTTTGTTTTCCTGAACTTTCTTAATAGCAAGGTAATTTTCAAATCTTACTATACATATATGTGCACAAATTTTCTTTCTGTTGATTGGAATTTTCGAAAGGGCGCACAACTGTTGTGTTACCTGGAGTTGAATTGAGCTTTATTTCATCATCAGAAAGGGCTTGATTTTGCTCCAGAACTCGTTGATTGGTAGCTTGCATCGCTTCCATAAGCGTTTTGAACATCTCTGCATTCATGGTATTGCCGTTCTATCGATCTTGGTTTTTTCTTGATAAATTCGATTTGTTGATTCAACTTGAATAATCCAATTTGTTGTATCTTTTAGGTACAGAAATATATGAAATCGATGGCAGTAATTGTAGTATTGAATGACATAACATGCTAACTATTTTTCCTCAACACATAATAAATATGTATATACAGGATGTTACATGGTCGTTCGGTATTGCATATCAATATAGATAGTAAATCAGATGTTAAGATAGGGTCATGTGAGCAGTTTTGACCAATAATGAGTATTTTTGGAATGGTTCATTTCGATTTTCCACACCCTATAACTCAGTGATCATTTTGTATCTCTTGGAGCGCACGAAAGGAAATTCCTATGTAGGGATGATAGGGAGAGGAGGTAGGTGTTGTAATAATTTTCAAACTTCTCGAAAACTTCCATTGGCAAAGAATTCAAAAGCTTTGCCGTTCTATATACGAACGAGTTTTGGTTGAGTGTTGTTCGACGTTTTTCGGGATTGATGACGAAGAAATTATTTGCTGACTGGACCTGTCGAGTTTGTCTGACTGGTGATAGATCGATGAAATCAGCTCACAAGGGAGAATCTGAAAATAAGATATAGGGTGCCATAAGAAAAAGTATAACTTAGATACGCCACGCATTTTTGAATCGCCCTGTTTAACGAAAAATATTTTATAATTGTGCAGCTCATGAGCCTAGATCATTTCAAATGTCTAGCGAAGCCGTTATGACACTTTGTCACTGTAGTGGTCCACCCTGTATGAGATGAACATCGATTGCAAAAACAGTTTATTATACATCTTATTATTTTTAAGTATTTTATCTTTGTATCTTTAGGTCGAGGGGATGAAATCTTATAATCCTAGCACTTGAAACTATTTGTTCAGGTAAAGTATCATTATTATGTTCCTAATTATCACTATGAGGAGGGTGATAAATTCTGAAGTGGGATTAGCAGGATTATATCACCAAACTACCTGATTTTGGTACTACGAAATAAGCAACAGGTTGAAAACTATTGCTATAGTATAATAATATGTATAAGTTTTCTATATAGTATTACCTTTTCGGTTGTCCTGTTCAGTGAATGACAATTAAAGTTTGGATATATCGTGTGTTTTCTACTGGTATTAGGTGAGAAGTCACGATTATCAAGTTACCTAATTTTTGGGGCTACTTGGTATTTTTGTAATTTCGTAAAATTTACCTGAATACTAAATTGTTATCTGTCTCAAGTGTCAATCTCAGTCTAAGAATTAGGCATATGTATAAGGAGTCTGTTATGACTAACTATAAAATTCAATCCAATAACATTGTGAACTTTTGATAATTTGAGCATGCACATTCACAGATTACGGTCTTGGTCCTAAGCATGGAGATCAAATCAGAGAAATTGTCGTTTGTGATATTTTTTAGTGAAATCCAAGCGATAGAATAAAAACATTTTCAATTATTACAACTGAGATTTGCTTTTTCGTATGGCAATTCCCATATTCTGGGAAAAATGTGAATTTTCATCGTGGACCAATTTTGTACCTGATGCGTATCTTGACATAGTATTAATAAAACTTTGTACATATACATCGATTATTGAAGAGATTATCTATTGTACTCAGGCTCCCGTTTCCTATGTAAGATGATTTCGAAAAATTGCAAAATCTTCTCATTGTGATATGTTGAAATTTATTCTTGATGTTCCCGAATTTCACAGATACTCAGTGGTAATACTATTATTACTCCAAAATATTCGGGTTATACAATGATAACTTGTTGCATATTCAACATATTTACCATATCATACAATTAAACATCAGATAGGTCAACTAAATATACAATTATAATAAATTGGAAAAGTTTTACTTCGCATCTAGGTGCAAGCACCTGTATATATATATGCACAGAGATAAACAATTTTTGATTTATGTATAAGCGGCAAATATATAAAGATCATATATTTAAAAAATGGAAGGTACATTATCCTCAAGGGAATGAATAGAAAGTGGAGTTTGTTGAAATTATTCTCTATAATATTGCAATATACCTAGAACAACTTAATTTTCTAATTACAAAGAATGCTAGTTTAACAGATGACATAATCCTACCACGAAGCGGAAGCATTATTCTGCAAACTTTACCCGATTTGTAATTGTGCAGGAAGTTTGAGATGTATATTCCTGAAGATTTTGAAGTTCGAAATGAATTCGATGCGATTATTTTTTGAGAAGTTCGGTACAAACGTGATAATTGGACGACGCGGTTTGTTTTTATGTAACAATATGAATTTTGAATTGTATACTATGGAAATGGAAATTATTTTAAATTTCTGACTGGTAGTGGTATAACTGCTTTATGTATATCGACGTAAATTCGAAATTATATACGGAGTACTATAGCTCAATTGAAAATTCTAATCGATTTAAAATCATATACGAAGTAAATAATCGTCTGGATTAAATTACGATTGTTTGCTAATGATTATGAAAATTCTCGAAGAGAATTAATTTTTTGTACGATACTAGTTCCTGGAAGCTTGGGATATAATTGATTTCTGGTACAAACAACATCCTGTGTATGAAAATTTATATAAAAAGGAACTATAGCTTCTGAATAAGTGTTCTAGGAGTATCCAAATATTATCATGATATTCTAATAATCATTAAATGACTATTTCCAACGGAAAAGAGAAAATTACTAGTAAAAAACGATTTGTATATATATGTATATCATCAAAAAATGTAATAATGATATTATAGTTTCGGTTTCTCACTGAATGATTCTACGCATTTTGAATCTATCTTCAACTATTTGTTGATAAAAAAACTGAAATAGGTCCACAAATGGAATAATACGAGGAGGGTGCTTCTCAAAGTGGGACACACTGTACCTATATACAGCGTGTCTCACTGAACCCCCCTCCTAATTCGAACTGGCATGAATAACTATCAATGTAATCAGTTTTTCAGAGACAAATATTATTTTTGACAGTGACGTGCGTTTTTTTTTGGAAAAAGGGGTTGTTTTTTTCATGAAATCATATTTGGCAATTTTTACAGACATACAAATCTTGTATTATTGACCTACATATGATTTTGAACCCTCACAACATGTGGATTTTCATGTAATTTCTTTGGAGTGTTTCCAAAAAACAAGCATCTCAACAGCATTCTTGCGAACTATTATTTCCTAGGAATCGTTGAGTTCATAAAAAAAAAATATCTTGTTTCTTCCTAAAATTTGCATTCATTATTTTTTCGACGCCATAAATGAAAAAATAACGAAGCCAATCCTGGCAATTTGGAATTGGTCGAGTTTTTGCATATGGACATTCGAAATTTATGAAGTTGGTTTTTCTACAAAAAAATGCCTGTTATGATTTCATAAAAAAGGACTCCTTTTTAATTTAATAAGAACTCACGGCACTGTTGGTGATGATGTTTGTCTCTGGAAAAACTGATCATATTAATGGTTATTCATATCAGTGCATATTTGGTGAGATTCGCACGACTAATAGCAGATATTTAAGGAGGGGGGGGGGCGTTTAAAGTATGAAACACGCTGTATACACAACTGACGGGTTTGCATAAGAACTGTCGATAAAATCGATCGAATGAGGTAACTTGAAAAAGCATCGATCACCAAATTCGTATTGTGTCTTGACATGATTGCTAGAGGTCAAATATTTTGGAGACAAGAGGCTAGACTGTAGTGTCTACAACAACAATCATTAGATATTGGCAAAAGGATTAGCTGAATGATAATCGCTTGAGAATTATTGGCACAGGTACCCTACCTATACAGGTTTAAGCGAAACAGGTATAAGAATATATCTCAACAAATTCAGTATTCCTCAGAATCTTCTGCTGTGAACTTTCCGTACTAGTGTTTGGTGAAAATGTGTAAAATTATTGGTGTGGTGTTGTTATTGTGTTTCTTTGAATTGGTAAGTAGGTACTCAACAAATCAACCAACAGATATTTTACTGAACCAGTTATAGTAGAGACTCCTAAATACAATGAACTCAATGTAAACAACTTACATATTGAGTTCAATGACTAAATTAATATCCATCAAAATAAGACAAACGCTCACTGAAATATAGGGTGATACAAGAAGCAAACTCGTATGTTGAGGAGTACAGTTGGGATTTCAGGAGGGTCATACCAAAAACCTTCGGGAATTGTCAGAATTGTTTATAGTTTTCCAGTTATATCAAAAATGGTACATTTTTGAAAAAAACATATTCTACGTTATTATTAGAGATACGGAAATACTGACGATACTTTTCCATAGCAACTTTTGATGACATTTTACGTGATATTTTGTATTTATAGAACTCATAAACTTTCTTTTTCAAATTCGCGGTCCTGATTATGATTATGTTTGCAGATTCAGAAAACTTTTTTCATTCTGAATTCAACCATAGATCAAGTGTGTTCGACCTAGTTTAATCTATATTCATCAATATTTTTTCAAAATTCCAAAGAGGAAATACCATCAGTTCCACATATTTCTGATCAATATTCTATACTGGAAAGTGGAAAAAAAAACTTCAAATTATTCGATACAGCGCTTCGAATATTATTTCAGTAGATATGCTGAAGCGTAGTTATTTCATATTAATGGATTCTTATACGAATCACCTTGATAACTAAACTTTGATTACACGAACAGTGATTATTTGAGAAAAATAACGTTCATATTACCTAAATGTAAATTATAACTATTATTCTCTAAACAAAGATATCCTTTCCTTTACAGCTGCTTCTAGAAGCATTTCTGAGGGGATACAGTTGAATGCTTCGATTAAAATGTCCCTTTGTTCTTGTTCGTTATCGAAATAATTTGCGTGAAAAAAGTTTTGAACGTATCCCCAAAGATAAAAATCCATTGAATGACCAGAAGTAAGTCGACCTGACGGTATTTCCTCTTTAGAATTTCTAAGGAAGAAAAATTATGTCAAAACATATTCAAACCACTTGGAGTGATACCTGGTTGAATTCACATTGAAAGAAACAATCAGAATCTGTGAAAACATAATCAGGACCGCTTTAAGAAAGTGGATAATAGTTCTACGAATTCGAAACGTCGCATAGAGAATACAATATCACGACGTTAAATCTCAGCAGAGGTTGCTATAGAATAATATTTTCTGTTTTTCTGTATCTCTAATAATAACGTAGAAAAAAGTATAAAATTATGTTTTCTCGGTATAACTGAAAAACTATGAACAATTTTGAACGTTTTCCTCCCGTTTCCGAGATTCCCTTGGTGTGCAACCTAATCGTGGTCCCACTGTAGACAGGAAATATCAATGAATTACTCTAGAAAACACCATTAATGCAATTTTCATCCGAAAAATCAATTTCCTTTTACTAACAATCAATATATTACGTAACAAGTTCGGTTAATACTGTTTTCTTGGACGAGTAGGAGTAGACAAAATTATAGGCCGAGCCGTAGGCAACTCCTGGAAGTCCGCGAGTCCAAAAAATTGTTTCTGGACGTGTTGCGTACACAATTCATTCGGCAACCATATGTAGAATAACAATTCAATGAGACACATTTTCATATTACATTTCTTTGCGCAATACAATTTCTTCTTTATTAATCCTTATTTGTATCAAATTCTGAAATTCGAACAGAATACCTATATACCTACTAACTGCTACATTGGAAATTTCGTATGGACATGTTCGAACTCACTATCGCTGCTGCTTTCCATAGTTTATTGCGATAATTGCAACCAAACTTTCAAAAATACAAATGTCAACTAATTCCAAGTCAAACAGCTGTCAGTCGATATTTCGCTGCTATGGTGATTATTAGGTGCATTTGTCCAAACATCACCTACCAAGATTTTCATAGTTACAGTGACAACAACGATGTGATACTTCCCGGCCTAATCCGGGAAGTACTTTCTTCCCGGACTAAGCCGGAAAACTGCTACTTTGTCGAACGGTCGGACGGTTGCCGAAAAATTGAATTTCGAATCAAGTTATCAATACAGACTTGTCATATCTGTCATGGTGACTAGATTTTAATTAGAATTAAAAATGAAGTGCTTTCACAGTCACATAGGTCCACATTTCAGTTTCACAGAACTATAATGGTTTAAATATATTGCTAGTGGTGAAAAAAAAATTGATATACACTTTGTTATAGTACAGAATACTATTACCACGGATGAAGCCTCGGGATATAATCTTAGTGGTTCCTGGGTAAAAATGATATTCTTCACTACCTTGGTATATAAATAACTATTGTTCACGACCAACATACAAGGTGTTTACGATTGTAATCAGGCGAAATTGATAGGCAATGATAGTTCTAGCAAAAATGGAAGTTTTATTATCACCCTAATCAAGATGTCAAAGGTTTATATTTCGAATATTATTGAATGTAGGAGCGATGTGTATCAAATGAAACTGTTGAGAACTATGAGATTCCGAATTTGGAATAGTATAGGGATTGTTCCATTAAAAAATATTCAAGATGGCGTTCACCTGCGATTTTGAAACTTTAATCTGCCGTTTATTCATGAAAAAGTTGGTCTTCATCTCTTATGAGAGTTCTCCGGATTTTGTTGCGATATAGCAGGTAATTATGTTTCGTGAATGTCCTAGCGTGTGGTTGCTTAGTAGTGTCGCTCTTGAGTTTCGGCAGTTTACCGGTGGTTCGAAAAGTTGATTTGAGTCGGAACTTTGCTCCAGCGGAAGTATAGATTCTTCTGCTTCGAGTGATATCGGATTGCAAACAAAATTGCTGTTCATTGGTGCAAAATTCCTAACATCAATCTTTCAATCCATCATAATTCTAAACCAATAACTGTAAATTCGAGTGCTGTTGAAGTACAAAAACGTTCGACTTTTTGTTCTCGCTCTTATCAGCAGCGTTTTTTATGATGAGTGCCTCGAAAAGTGTGTGCAGGATATGCACAAAAACTGTCAACAGGGATACCCCGATGGTTCAATGTACTGGATGCAAAAAACTATTCCATCAATTGTGTTTGAAAACCCCGAACATGCCAGACGTTGCCAAATTTCCTGGTCTATCCTGGAAATGTGAGAGTTGTTCAAAGAAAACAGGTGAATTAGGCGGAGAAGAAACTTTTGCTGCTAATTTGATTGAGAAATTGAACTTCATAATGTCTGATATCAAAGATATTAAAACCAAACAAAACGATATAGTTGCCTCTATGGAGTATTATGGAGCAAAAATTGATGATTTTTCTCATAAAATGGAAGAGTTCGATTCGATAGTCAAATCTATTCCAAAGATAGAGAATAAAGTCGTGCTGAACACTTCTGAAATTGATATACTGAAATCAAATATCAACAGCTTAGAACAACAGATGAGAAGTAATAATATAATTATAAACGGAATTCCTGAATCCAAAAATGAGAATGTAATTGAGATAGTTGAGAAAGTGATTGTTACCCTAGGAGTTAATGAGGCTCGCACAATCGAGAGTTGTTACAGGGTACCTCAGAAAGACCAATCTCGCCAAACTCCAAAGGGGATACTGGTAAAATTTGCTCTCAAATCACAGAAAACGAATGTTATCACTGCAATCAGGAGAATGAAAGGAATTACTACAGGAGACATCGGATTTGAAGGTAATAATAACAAGATCTTCATCAACGATCACTTGACACCACGTAACCAATTGCTGTATAAAAATACCAGGGAGATTTGCAAACAAAAAAATGTTTCGTGTTGGACTCGCGATTGTAAGATATACTTACGGGATCCGAAAAATGCGAAGCAAATTCATATTGATAGCGAAGATGCTCTTCATAAAATAATCAAGGCCTTTGGAAAAAACTAGGCTTGAATTATTTTTCATGCTAAAGTTAAATTCTATGCATATAAATATTCACAATGGGCCTAACAATATATTACCAAAATACTCGAGGTCTTCGTACCAAAACAAATAATTTTTTAATTTCGAGCCTTGAAAGCAGTTCTGACATAGTTTGCATCACCGAAACATGGCTGAATAACATGATTAATTCCTCCGAACTTTTCGATTGTGAAGAATACCAGGTGTACCGCAAAGATCGTGATGAAATTACAAGTGGAAAAGTGGATGGGGGAGGTGTTATGATTGCGGTTAAGAAGAAATTTCGCTGTTGTGAAAAAACGTCGTGGTCATCGGCTAACCGGTGTGAAGATATCTGGATAAGTGTTGCGTTGAGTAATCATAAATGGCTACATCTGTGCTGTGTATACATTCCTCCCGACTCTGGGATGGATGATTTAGAAATTCACTTGAATCATGTGCGCGATGTTGTTCTGAACCACCCCAACGATGATTTTCTGATTCTTGGAGATTATAACTGTCCTAATATTTTATGGGAAACTAAAACAGGGCAAAATATTCACTTTGCTGCTAGAACGTCCGACGGCATTGGAGAAAACATTGTTGATACTTTCAACTTATTGAACTTAGATCAATATAATGGCAATCGCAATATCCAAGGTAAGCTACTGGATTTAGTTTTTAGCTCGCTGAATAACACTTCTGTTCTTTCAAGTCCAGCTCCCTTTGTTAACGAGGATTCCTATCACAAATCTCTAGAAATTATGATCAATGTGGAAGAAAATATCAGTGCTTCCAAGCATAAGGACTCTTTTAATAATAGAAACTTTTTCAAAGCTAACTACAATGAAATAAATGCCGAACTGAATGTTACAGATTGGAAACTTTTATTGGGAAAACTCCACTGCAATGAAGCTGTTGATGTATTTTACAATAAAATCAATTATCTCATTTCTGCGCATGTACCGAACAAACTATTCAAACAAGATTTTCCGATATGGTATACCAACTTCACAAAATCACTGATAAAACAAAAATACAAATTACACAAAAAATGGAAAAAATATCATAATCAGGCAGACTATGTGGAGTTTTGCACTATTAGGAGGGAGATAAAAAGGTCAATAAAACAAAACTTTGCTGATTACTCTCGCAAAATCGAAAACGATATGACACATAACATGAAAACCTTTTGGTCTTTCGTATCAAACCGAAATAAATCCAAAACCGTTCCAAGATATGTAGAATATCAAGGTAGCACTTTCTCTACAGACAGCGAGGTTTGTGAAGCTTTCTCTCAATATTTCTCATCTGTTTTCGAACCAGCAGACATCCCTCCTTTTGTTACTAGATCGGACCCACCTACTTCCATTACTATGAATAATATAACACTAGATCAGATCACTGAACAAATCAAGAAACTTGATATACACAAGGGTGCTGGACCTGATGGAATACCACCAGTCTTTCTAAAAAATACATGTAATTTAATAGCGGTTCCACTACTGATAATTTTCAACAAATCTCTCTCTGAAGGAGTTTATCCGGATAAGTGGAAACATGCCAATGTTATTCCCATCTTCAAAAGTGGAAACCGAAATGATGTTTTAAATTATCGGCCAATATCGTTGCTTTCAACTCCGGGAAAGATATTCGAGGCCATTATAACCCTCGAATTGTTTTATGCAACCAAACATCTCATAAACGACAATCAGCATGGTTTTTTCCAAGGCCGTTCGGTTATCACAAATCTAGCATTTTTTACTCAAAAAATTCTTGATCACATGAGTTCTAGGCTACAAGTTGACGCTGTGTATACCGATTTTTCCAAAGCCTTCGATAAAGTTCATCATAAGTCACTAATTATTAAGCTGGGAAATATTGGTATACATGGCAACTTACTCAGATTGATAGAAAGTTATATAAGGGATAGAACGCAAACTGTAACTTTGAATAGTTGGTTTTCGGAGTACACCAATGTTACGTCTGGAGTACCTCAGGGTTCACACCTTGGACCCCTGTTGTTTTCTCTTTTCATTAATGACATCAGTGAATGTTTTCTACATTCTGAGTTCTGCTTGTATGCAGATGACCTAAAAGTTTTCAAAACTATTAAAAATAATACAGACTGCTTGAATTTGCAGACAGATCTTATTAGATTGCAAAGTTACTGTGAAACTAATAAACTCGTACTGAATGCTCAAAAATGTAATCAAATTACGTTCTCCAGAATACATAAAGCCATAGACTTTCCATATGCTATTAACAATAACAACTTGGCAAAAGTTGACTTGATAAAAGACTTAGGTATCTTGTTGGACTCTAAACTGACTTTTGAAAATCACATTGAATCCATTCTAAAAAAATCCTTGCGCAATTTGGGATTCATTATGCGAATCACAAAATCTTTCACGAATCATAGGTCTCTAATTATTTTATACAACTCACTAATTCGTAGCCATCTTGAATTCGCCAGCATTATCTGGAACCCACATTATTATAAATATATCGATCGGATTGAGAGGGTACAAAAGAAATTTGTGAACTTCTTGAACTTTAAATTCAATAGACAACTGCACTTTCAAAACTATGAAACGAGTCTCAAGTATTATAATATACCCAAACTGTCCGTTAGGAGATTGGTCTCGTTCGTACGATTCCTCTTTAAAATAGTCAATAATCAAGTAGATAGTCCATACTTATTGAGCAGTCTCAACTTCAGTATAAAGCCCCATGCCACTCGTTCTCCTCATTTATTTTATACCAGCTTCCGAAATACCAACTATTCAAAAAATTCACCTGTGATGTCAATTCAAGAATTATATAATCTTTATTTCTCTCACATAGATTTGTTTTGTAACACAGCCGCTCGGGTAAAAAAAATGGCTCTTGATGTTTTCAAATTATAGATTAATTTACTATTAGTTTTCGTTCTACTTCAGTTTCATACTAGTTACCTACTACTCAGATACAAAATGTAATTATTAGTTATTAGTTATTAGTTATTAGTCAGTTTTAATGTACCTATTAATTATACCACACGCATTAATATTGTCACAATGCGTAATTCTGTAATTGGAACTTATGTTCTGTTGAATTACCTATAATAAATAAATAAATAAATAAATTAAAAAATTGGTAGGGAGTAACAGACTTAAGAAGGGCCCTGCATTAATCATTAGTAAAAATTTAGCATGACACCCAATAATAATTACCTGTTTTTGTTTGTAGGTAACTGTATTCAATTGCAAACCAGTTTTACTTGAGGTAGACCCACTTGAACAGAACGTGACTGCTGGCAACAACACAAGAAGTAAGTAATAATAACTACTGAATCAATACTTACTCCATAGTTCTTCTAGTACATTTTATATCATTTCAGATCATTCTCCATCATTTCAGAATATTATCGCTTACTGTAGAATATTTACGATTACTATAAAACATTTTTGATCTTTCTAGAACATTCTCATTTATTCTAGAACATTCTCCATTTTTTGTAAACATTCTCGATAATTCTAGAACATTTTAGATTATTAAAGAACATTCTAGAATATTCACTGAATCGACTACTGACCATCCTTATTTTCCAGATTACGAAGCGGAGCAACCGCACCCCTGGTGCTTGCTGCCTCTGGTTGTTCTAGAACAATCAAGATTATTTCAGAACATATTATCGATTGTTTTGGAAGATTCCCGAACATTCGTTGAATGTATCAATCATTTTGGAAATATATAGAATACTTTGGAATATTCTGATACCAGAACATTCAGATTATTCTGAGAGATTCTATAACATTATGGACAAATTTGAAACATCCTGGAGAATCTTTGAACAATCTATAAGATTCTCGAACAATATGAAACATTCTCGAACATTCATCAAATCATCTATTGTCTGTCATTATATTCATTGCTCGCTCTCAAGCATTTTACAGGATTCTCTGCTTTCGAACATCATGATACCTGATACATTATGTAGAATGAAAATTCTAGAACATTATGGATGATCATATAGCTCAATGGAGAATTTTTTTAACATTCGAGAAAATATCCGAACATTATCAGGTATTCTCGGAGATTCTCAAACATTTTTGAACATTTTCGATAATTCTAGAACATTGTTTATCATTCTAGAACACTATCACTTGACCCTCCGAACTTACTGGAGTAATCAGTGGCCCTAAGGCTGAAAAGTTTGGAGGCCCCTGTTCTAGAATATTCTCGATTATCCTAGATCATTCTTGATTATTCCAGAACATCTTGCGAGATTCATCAAATTGTCTAGAACACTTTGAACCCATGAGAAGATTTAGAGTAACCTGAGAAATTCTAGAACATTATGGGACCATTCTGAAACATCCTGGAGAATCTTCAAACAATCTATAAGATTCACGAACATTTCTCAATCTTTCTAGAATATTCTCGATTATTCTAGAACATTTTCGATATCTTTAGAAAACTGTCGATCATTCTAGAAAATTCTAGACTATTTTGGAACATCTTAGATTATTCTAAATCATTATCGACTATACGGATACTCCCATCCAACTGGAAAATTGTAAGAGTATAACCAGTTCCTAAAAAAGGCAAAAAGACTCTACCTAGCAACAAGCCGATCGCACTGCTATCTATCATTTCAAAGATCATGGAGAAAGCTATCAACATCGAGCTCATGGAATACCTGGAACATTCAGGTATTATCAACGATAGGCAATATGGCTTCCGTCATCAGAGATCAACTGGTGAAACCTAAGCCGTGGCATATCTCCAAGGCATTCGATCGAGTCTGGCACCATGCACGGACTCCTCGCCAAGCTTCCATCTTATGGCTTGCCCAGCTATGTTTCTCTCAAACAGGTCTCTCCATGTAGTGATCGACGGAGTTTCATCTGACTCTCTCATCATAAATGCTGGTGTTCCGCAAGGATCAATTCTAGCACCAACACTATTTCTACTCCATATCAACGATCTGTTGAAAGCAACTTCATGTCCAGTACACAGCTTCGCGGATGATAGTACCCTCCATCCTTCTCTTCCAGAGAAATGTTGACAACATAAATATGGACTTGGCAACAATTCCCGAATGGGGATCCAATAACTTGGTAGATTTCAATGCAAGAAAGACACAAGCATGCCTTTTCTCTAGGAAAGCCGATCTCACTGTGCCCAACATAAGCTTGTCAGGAGTAACCATACCTTTGAAGACATCCATTTCGATGCTTGGTATTACTATCAGCAATAACCTTTGATCACGTGATATCAATTGCTGAAAATGCATCCAAAAACTTGATGGTTCTCTGATTTGAGCCAGGAGCTATTTCACTTCCAGTCAACATATTTGGAGCAGCATCCAAACATACCCTGAAACTGTTGGATTCTGTCTCAAGAAGGGTAATTCGTCTCGTGGTGATGCCTCGCTCACAAACTCACTCACTTCTTTGGAACACCGTAGGAAAGTTGGTGATCTGGCTCTATTTTAAAGATATTTTCATGGACGATGCTCTTCTGAAATATCAAGAATTGATCCTCCCTTGGCAGTCCCCGCGAGATTAACTCGTCGAGTTGAGGCTTCGCACCTCTTCGTGGTCACTTTGGAGACCTGCAGAACATCTCTTTACAAAGAGACTCGTTCATCCAACGAACTGCGAGGCTCTGGAATACATCGCCAAGGAAGGTGTTCCTCGTGGCATATAACCTCCAGAAATTCGAGAAGAACACCAATCCCTACCTTGTTTCCCTTGGTTCTCACGATGTTCTCTGAACATTACAGGATAACCCTTTCCGTGGTAACCAGAACATAAAACGAAAAGATTCTAGAACATGCTCGATTGGTTTCAAACTTTCTCGATCATTCTTCAGCATGCTCGAATATTCTAGTACATCATCGATTATTCTAGAACGTTCTCGATCATTTTAGAACCTTCTCGATTATTCTAGAACTCTCTCTATTATTCAAGAACATTGCCGAATATGTATTGCGTCATTAACTAATTGTCATTGCTGATTCCAGACCGCCGCCTGTCCGACATAATCTTCCCTGACGACGAGGTGGAAGCTCCTGCTCCCCTGAGGTTGCCCCTGATCCGCGGCAGGCCAGCCTGCGCTAGTGGCGCCACCTTCTGCGAACACTTCGACCGCTACCCGAGCCATCAGCTCAAGCACATCCTGAGCCGACACTCGCTGGGCAAGGAGCTGTTCGGCATGGACGAGAGCCCTGATGAGGTGGCCGGCAGGGACGGATCAGGGGAGTCGTTCGTCTGCGGTTCAGTGGACAACACGATCTTCCCGAAGATCGGCGTCAACAAGAATAACAAGTGGAAGTTTATTATTAACCAGGAGGAGGATGGGTATGTGCAGGGGGTGAGGATCGAGCTTTGCAGAAGGTGAGGGTTTGACATTTTTCAAGAGACTATTTTCTTTATTCATAGTATGTACAGGGCGAACAACTAAGAAAGGTTTTGGGGGATATCTCAGCAACGAATAACGAAAACCGCAACATGATAGCTTTTTGCCAACGGAAGATATTAATTATCAAAGTTGGAAAAATAATAGATATGACAGCCGTTCTTGATTATTCTCCCTGTACAGTGACACTTGATTTTTTTATTCGACTTGGCCGTTACTTGATAGAAATACATGGATGATTACTATTAGTTCAAGAGATAGCGACCAAATCTTTGGGTGATCGCATTGTAGCTGGAAACATTATACAGGGTGACCCATGGTTAAACCATCAAACGTTTAGGATCATTTTTTAGGCAAAAATAAGACTTTTTCTTCCTATCAGCATATGTGTCCTAACTTGCTCTATTTTAGAGACCTCTATGAAACTGTCTTCTCCTGCAATATGAACACCAATCAGAATGGTGTGCTTCGATAGTACCATGCTTCTTTCTTTCGAGTCGACCACGTCGTCACGGCAACACGAATCTGAATAGAACAACATCTTGTCACCTGGTATGACATGGAGATTACAGCTTCATACAGGCCGGAAATTCTGTCAAAAATACTCATCTCGATCAATTTTCTTCGAGGTAGCACCCCTCTTTCTGCGGATTCGGGTTTTACCAGGCAATTGGAGATTTATGACGAAATTACTATCGATATAGTCGTGCGAGCGCTCGTGGTATTACCCCTGGTAATTTAACAGAGCATCGACCCTGATAGATCCGTGATCAGATCGATTATCGAGGTCTGTCCAAATGACAGAGTTGTACCTTTCAGCGATTTCGGTGGCTTCTTCCCAGCAATTTTCCTTTTGGTGGGAAGGCGCCAACATGGCAGCTACGCTGGATTCCGGAGCGGTGTGCTGGAGGTTAGTTTGCATCTCGTCCAAGTATACGTTTGATAGAGTATCTGACTGTTGGCGCGAAAGACAATGTATCTGCTTCTGATTGGTTATCCAGCAGCATACTGGAGCTCATAAGTCACAATCCAAATACATTTTACGTAACATGACTTTGAATTTGTTTCAGTTTCGGTAAGCCGTGTGACGTCATAGGCGAACTACCGGAAGGTTACGTAACTTCCTGCAAGCAGAAGTACATCTACAGAAGGCTGCTCTCATTGACTGATAACGGCACCCCTGTTCAAGACACCTTCAAGTTGCCATCGGCTTGTTGTTGCACCTACAAGAGGAGTTTCACCTTCATGACGAACTTCGGCAGGCGCATGTCCAAAAGGTAGAAATTCAATGGGGATTCGATGAAAAGGTTAGCACTTACTTATACCTCATTTTCACAGTAATAAAGAACCAAAAGATGGTAATCACAACTTTAGGTTTGAAAGAGGTGAAGAATTAACATTTTCGCATTTATTTTTATGTTTCGGTTCTCACGAAAAGGGATATCCTGTAATGCCCAGAGAACATCGTGAGAACCAAGGGAAATAAGGTAGGAATTGGTGTTTTCTTGAATTTCTGGAGATTATATGCCTCGGGAAACACCTCCCTTGGCAATGTGTTCCAGAGTCTCGCTCATTATAATCTATTGTGCATTCCATTTTAATTAAGATAGCCAAATTGCTTGGTTGTTATTGGGGATAACAAACTTGAATTTTGTAAAGTTTCAACAGCGTCAAAAGCTACCTACTTTTTCTACGGTTATAACACGAGATTGCCCTTGTTATACGATGCTATACCTATATACGACGCTATACCTATATACGACGCTATACCTATAAACGACGCTATACCTATATAGTGGAGTTTACTACGGCCTTGCCAAAAATGCCATCTCGGAAACTAAGCGAGATAGAGGTATAGTTACTTTGGAGAAAATGATCCCAATCGAATTTTGAGCAACTTTGGTTTTTGTGTGTGGTCTGTCTGTCTGTCTGTACTCTGTGGTAATCATAAATCGACATTTCTCCGGAACCCTTCGACATATCGACTTGAAATTTCGCCATGTTATTGTACTCAAAACATTATCATGTCATTAAAATATGAAGAAAATCGGAAAACTCTGAAGTGTTTTTTCCGGTTTTTTTCGATTTTTCACCGGAAGTTTCTTGTAACCACTCTACAAATCGCAAAAGTGGTCCAATCGATTACATTTTTTGTGAAAAAAACTCTATCAGGGAGAGACAAAGCCTATTGAAATTGAGCAGGGTTGGAAAATTCCAAGTGGGTTTTTCAAGGAGATTTTCCGCAACACACGGTTCGCTTTGAAACGACATATCTCCTGAACCAATAGACTAAATCCAAATTTGAAAAATGCACCGTATGCCTCTTTGATGATATAATAATTTATATCACCATTTTTTCGTGCATCCATCGGAAAATGGAAAAACAAATGAAAATCGAAATATCAAAATTTGAAATCCTTTCAATTCAATATAAATATATCGAAAACAACGGAAAATATCTGAAAATGTCATAGAACCAAAATTATTCCTTTTGATAGAATCTACATAAAATCCGTGAAACATTTTTTCCTGAATTCAATAGTTCGGGAGATACGATGAAAAAACTAAAAAATTTACAAGTTCCTAGATAATCACTTGCCAATAGAAAACAAAACAAAAAACAAAAGAAGGTAAAAAAAGCACACTCGACTGTCTTGATTTTTTCCCACAAACTACGTACCTAGCTCACTCGACTGTTTTGATTTCCCACAAAGAAGAAATATGTTGGCATTGTTTTAACTTTCTTTTGTTTTTGTTTTTTTAGTCCCTATTGGCAGTCGAGTGGGCTAGGTACGTATAGTTTGTGTGGAAAAACCAAGACAGTCGAGTATGCTAAGTACGTAGTTTGTGGGAAAAATCTCCAGTTCTCTGAACTTTCATAGCCTCGTATACACATCTTTGGTGCCCAATGATAGTTTCAATATAAAAATATGCTCATGATATGGTGCCATGGCCTCTACTTCCATCTTCCATGAGCAATGATAAAATATCATCTGCTTTTATAGCGTCGTATACATTATCTGACCTCTATACTAATCTAAAACCTAATGAAAACTACATCTATACTAATCTGATACCTTTCAAAAACTACGTACCTCACATGTTTCACTGTGTTCGATACATCATAATGAGGTACTTTGTTTGTCATCAATTTTATTTCCGTATCTGATATCAAAATGACTCTATTGTGTCATTATTGAAAAAAAAAACCATTGCCCATGGAATGTCAAATTTCAAGCAATGTTAGCTCTGTCTAATAGATGAGCATTACTCGACAGGAAATTAGATGGCTAAAAGACGAAGAAATCGAAAATGCCGCTTTTATCTATTATAGCCGTAGAAAAATTATAGTGTATAACTTGAACGGAATGCTAAATTCTCGTAGGAAATCACTATCATTCCGTGCTCGTTAAACAATATACTATTTTTAATCGGTGTAATCAGGATATATTTTTTCCAATTCATTTGCAGAACAAATAACATTTAGATATTAAGTGTGACCTGAAATTTGTTTTCATCAACACTGTACACAAGTACCTACGACACTATACCCCAAATTATTTCGAATATAACGAATTCGAATGAAACTTAAGGTTCAAAAACCTGACACTAAACGAGATTATATTTCTTTTGCAGATAACCGATGAATTTACTAGATGAGTCCGAGTTCAACAAATAAAACTGAATCATCATTTTCGACAAAATATGATATGCCGATCCTGATACTCTCAAATGGGGCCAAATTCATACAGCATATAGGAGGAGGGAAATATGCTAACACAAAACACAGATGTGAGTGCACTGCTTTGAATTTGATAGCGATACCAGCCCTTCACTGTTTTCCGTTTATTAACGATTTTCGATTTTTTTCAGCGTTCGTATTCTGAAGACTAGCAATTCTCAGAGAAAGAAATGAGTACTGATGGAAGGATTGCACACATGGAATAACTAGATGACAAGATATGATGATACTGGACAAGAGGTGAGTCTAACAAGCTGATGTTGAGTGTAATTATTGTCTTATTTCATTATTCCCAGATGCAAATATTACGATATTATATGACCCGAACAACGAAATAGATGCTCAAAGTGGAATGGAATGTTGAATGAATACAAATAAAATTCGGAGTAATTTCCACTAATGTCCATCAAATGAAAAATAATGGTAGATGACGGAAGAAGAACAATCATACTTTCCTGGCTATATAATGACATGCAGTACATTGAATTTCATTCTCTAGAGGGAGGCGTGGAAAGTGGTTGTTTTTCTAATCTACCATTGTTGTTTATCTCATGAAAACTTGTGTATTTGAATTTACGTCAGTCGAGCAAATCAGCCACTTCCATTTGTGGGTATATTTCGATTTTGTGAAGTTCTCCTTTCCTTCTAGTCTAGATAACGTTTGACTTATGTCACCTATGAGAGATTCTTTCAAGACTACAAATATTGCTGATTCGATTTTCATGGGCCAGGTTACGCTTAGCTGGTGGTCTCCGGACTATACCCTAGACTTATGAGAGCCGAAAGCTTAAAACCGGTCTGTAGGTGTCGTTGCCTTAACCTGGCTAGATTGAAATCAATCGGCATTAGTATTCGTTTACACGTATAGTTCCAGACCATTCTATGAGTGGTTCATCAACACAGTTCAGCCGCTACTCAGTACAAAATTCCGTTCCCTTTTCAATTCCACAGTTGTTTCCAAAACTACTCACCCGAATTGGACATAGCGCGGGACTTGACAGAGCGTCTCAAAATATTTCAAAATGGCCAAGAATAAATGAATAAATAATCGATGTAGAACTTATTAATGAAATCTACAAATACGGCATGATACTTATATACAGGCATATTACTTGATGTCTTAACCATGTATCTGATGAAATTCAACCACACCATCCTCACCTAACAACCAATTCATGAACATTCATGATACGTCGCTAGCGCGCTTTCATCGGATCTATACGTGTTCACATAGAAGCGATATCGTTACATGAATGATACAATAGTGGGTGAGGTAAACATCGCATATGAGAGTAGACCAATGATAATCTTCAAATAACTGCTGCACTTCTAATAGACGTTTTTTTCCTCTCTGCCAACCATTGTACTAAGTAGCAGCTGGACTCTTTCTTCTGGTACGAACTTCTTCTCTCATTTTTATCCAGCTCCGAAATTTATGAAAATTCAATTAATGAGTTGGTAACCACGTCAAATCAACATGAATGTATTATTGATTTGATTTTTTGGCCATATTCCTGGATATCCAATTCATATTTGCGAAATTTGTTTTGATGTATATGTGTACACGCTAGTTCCATAATTTCATAAAAATTAATCTTTTTTTTTTTTCAGGAAACTGGGCCTATCCAAGAAAAATATCTCCACTCCTGCTTTGACAACATACCACAGCTGGAAAAAAGATACATTTCAAAATGTAGAACTGTTGAGGTTTTCAATGTATACATATTCATTCTTCGTCCTATACCTACAAGAATAATTATGTCCTTCCTGATTAGATATCACTCTAATCATATAGTCACATCAATCATTTTTATTGAACAGTTGTGAACGTTCGTTTGTATTTTTCGTTTGAGGGCGTCAAATGAAGGGAGATATGATTTTATGATGTCACAAGATACTTTTTTGGGGAATAGAAAACGATATTCTGCTAGATAACAATAGTAGTAGGAATTCTTGAATATCTCACAGCTAGGAGCGTCATATTAAAAACAAAAGTTAGATGAGCTTGCAATATCAGGTACTTATGTTAGATTCAATATTGAAACGTAGGACTTGTTAACAGTAAACGGCAAGCTATTCATATGAACATTCTGAGCATGATATAGAAATATATGAGAACATTTTTTTTATATTATTTTTCTCCTGTTAATTATTTAGCATTACATACATGTTTCGTTTTCGTTTCGTTTTATACATTTGTTGATTAAACATATACCAGTGCATTCACTTGATCTTTTATTTTTATCACTTTCAAACCTAGCCTGTTCAGTAGTTCAATGATAATATTCGAGTGAAACTGGCCTTATTTTTCAAATAGTTCAGACTGAGTGATTAGTATGGAATGTCTTTCCAGGAAACTAAGAACTCACGATGAAGGTAGTTCAACACGATGTCAATTGAGATCTTGCTAAAATTACAGCCTGATGAGACACCAACAAACTGAACTACACAACACTAATTTCGTCGCATCCCAAAATGTTGCCTAAATAAAATTTGAATAACTTTTTTCTGCTTTGAACAATTTGAATTCGGATCACACATGTTCGAAGGCCACGTTTATACCCTCTCGTGTTCTAAATGAATTAATGAAGTTTATGAAAACATTTCGAGGGTATCCTAGCATATAGAAATGTACCTAGGCCTTCAAGTCTTTTAATCTAGGTGAAAATTTGCTGAAAATAGGACGGCCTCTTATGAGGCTATTGGCGATATTTTGAGAATGTACTCAGGTGATTGTCTGCCATAATCCTACTATACTGGTGTGTGTTAATTCATACAATATCATCACTGGTTGTGAACATCTTTATTCAATAATACTGAACAAAAGACAATTAAGTAGATATATTCAAAGTCTCGCCTATACCAATCCCGTATATCTGCTACCACTCCGGACAGTTGGCATTCCCTCCTCATATACAGGTTGTCCTTCGTAATTTCCTGATGGACCGTAGTTGCAGCCATATAAAAAGTGGTACATCTTCCTACCACCTCTGAAAGAGGAATAGATCGTGGCTGCACAGCCGATTTCCGATGTATTGGCCCAGATAAACTGGCTGTAGTGTCCAGTGTCCATGTCCCTGGAATGATCAGGGCATGACAATATTTTCAATATCAATACCAAAAGGAGAAATTTCACCGAGAGATTTTTTTATCGCTTGGAGCGCACGAAAGCGAATCCCTATAATGTTCAAAGAACATCGTGCGTTCCTATTAGAGAGGATAGGGACAGGAGGTATAGGTATTCTAATTTTTTTTGAACTTCTGGAGATTATATGTTGTTGGGAATACTTCCTTAGGCAATGAATTCCAGAGCCTAGCCGTTCTATGGTTGGAGGAGTTTTGATAAAGTGCTGCTCAACATCTTTCGAGGTTGACAACGATGTGCTAACTGGGCTTGTCTAGTTCGTCTAACTGGTATTGCTAGTGAAGGGATGATAGCAGATATTTCCGAAGAACATTTCTCGTGGAAGTATCGATAGAAAAGTGAAAGATCGCCGACCTTTCTACGGTGTTCCAATGATGTCAAAGAGTGAGTGAGTGTGGCGTCACCCACCAGGCGAATGCCTCTTCTCTGGATGGAATCTAAGAGCATCAGCGTATGATTTGGCACAGTACCTCATATGTGGAAACAGTATTCTAGAACGGGCCGTATCTGCGCTTTGTAGATCATGAGAAACTGTTGAGGTGTAAAGTAGCCTTTCGCACGGAACAAGAATCCGAGTTTTTGTGAAGCACCTTTTGCGATGGATCTGACATGATTATCCCATGAAAGAGTGTTGCTGATGGAAATACCGAGCATAGATATGATGGGCTTGGTGGGGATGGTGGTGCCAGACATTACAATATCGGGCATACTGAGTTTTGCCTTTCTAGAGAAAATACAGGATTGAGTTTTGGTGGCGTTGAATTCAACTAGGTTGTTGGTTCCCCATGCTGTGATTTCAGCAAGGTCTTCATCGACAGCATTGACCTTCCTGCGCCGTCAGTTCTTAGTTTCCTGGGAAGAAATGGAAATTCTGAAAGAGAACGCAGTATGGAGGGTACTATCATCTGCAAAGCTGTGGATGGGGCAAGTTGTTACTCCCAAATGTCAAGTATACCTCTTGATCAAGATTGTACATATTCATTCATACATTCATTGGAAAAGATAAATACTTCAATTGGGGATAGAAGTCACAAAGGTCAAAAAATCAATGGTCGATGGCTCGTCAACATCTTATAACCGAGATATGTATATTTTTTGGAAATTGGGACAATTCCTGATGTCGAATCGATTGCGTCACCAACGAAATGGGCTCCGTGGCCGAGTTCGTCTATGCGCTGAAATTCGCTAGATAGCCGTTCACGATGCAGAAGTACTGTCGGTTCGAATCCGGCTATCGGCTGAGCATTTTTCTTTAAAATGTGTAATTTATGGTTGTAATCCTGGCAGCACCTCGATGCCCTAGAAGTGGTTCGGATTCCACTATAAGCTGTAGGTCCCACTCTTCCTAACCCCGCACAAGTTTCTACTTCTGGGGAGTTGGTTCCCAACTTTGAACTAGCGATATACAAATCTTACAAATATAGAATCCAGATCCGGTTTCACAAAAATTGACAAATTCTTTCTGCTCGAAAACAACACGACTCTACAATTTGGATTTCTTAATTTTTTATCGTATCTGAAAAGAGGACCAAAATATCTGTTCAACGATGTACTTCTCATTCGTGCACAGACGAACTTTCAGTAGATTCAGCATCATCAGGAAAAATGTACAGGGTTAAGGAATCACAAATGATAACAAGAAGAATTTTCATCAAAATCAGAACATAACAAGGATCATGATATTATGTTGACGTTGATTTTTCCCTCAGAAAGAAAGAAAGAAGGTAGGTAAATCAAATCATTTGATGATATCATCAGAGCTGAGATTTTTCATTGCTAAGAAATTTTGACTTCTTCGACATCTATTAAATATTGTATGAAGGCTTCAACTAATTTCAGTAGATTCTCTAGTAGTCTAGGGTTCAGAAATCAAAAACAACATGGAGAAATATAACTACCAATAGATAATTATAAACTCTGAGTAGAGTGCAACAAGAAGCTGAATATATCTCTTCAAACAGAAAAATCGAAATTCCTCAAAATGGGTTATATACCGGGTGTTTCGTAATATGTGGAACGCATGTCGAGAGGTGATATGGCGTCTCAAGAAAATAAAAAATTTGCCATAAACAGAAGTCGTAGAAGGCTTCGTTTGCCAGATGCAGGGTGTTGAAGTTGAAAACAGTGTACCCGTTTCAACACTGGTGCTTTTTCCTACAAGACTGCAGCCTCTTTCATATTCTCGAATGAAACTACGAAAAGTTTCATCGCCACTCATGTTTTATCTAAAAAATTACACATCAATAACCCTTAACGGTGCCATTGGGAGTCATATTGACTAAATAATGCTACCTATTCAATTACTCTCAGGTACTGAGTTTTATACCAGAATAGCAACAATTTTTGTTTCGCGGTTAGCTAGATATTCAATGAAAATTATTTTTCATTTCCAACTTCAATACCCTGTATCTCGCAAACAAAGCCTTCTCCGACTGCTGTTTATGGAAACTTTTTCATTCTTCTGCCTTATCACCTCATACATATTACAAAACACCTTGTGTAATAGAATTTAAGTGTTTATACGACCATATTATTAATAAAGGGAAATTCTGCAAATAACATGAGATTCATATTTTTACAAAAAATTATCATTTGTATCAACCTATCTTCCATTTATCTTGAATATCCCTAAGGAGTCTATATATCTATAATACTGGCTATGCCTAAAGTTGTTCCCCTACGCATGTCCCAGAAGACCTTTTAGGGATGCCCTGAGACGTTATTAGGACGTTAGGCCTAGGGACTTCCTCAGGCTCGCCCTCGACGTCCTGAGGACATTATTGTGAACGCCTCAGAGAGACCTCGAAAGATATTTGATCTATCTGGAAGGGCACTCTCCAACCCAGGTAACAAGCTGACGTCATTTGTACGTCAATATATGGTCATTTATGGTCATTGACGTCATATGACCTCAAAATGACGTCATTTTGACGTACTTAATACGACGTTATATAGACGTCCTTGATATGTCGTCATTATGACGTCATCTGATGGTCATTTTCATTACTTATTATGACCATCAATTATTGAGTCATCTACATCAAGGAAAATCCATAATCAAGAAGTTTCCCATCTCTGTTATATGAAAACGTTAGTAGTTATGTTATATAACATATATTATTATGTCACTCATCATATATTATGCTTCATAATAATTTTTCCTCTAATCTGTGCGAGATGTGTGTTTTCGATGGTCTCTGAGATAATTGTTAATTATATACCTTCTGTGCAAAGTAATCTCCCTATAGCTATTAAAAATATAAGACCGAATGTCACGTCATAAAAAGCTTATAACGTTGTTATTCCGGAATGCGAATTCAAATCAGAGCGGGAGAGTGCGTAGAGAACTGTATTTGATTGGTCGGCACGGACCTTGCGCAAACATGCGAACGTCGACCGCCAGCGCATGGCCAGCGCCAACCCACAGCCGTATTCAGAAGACGGCTGTGACCAAGCCGTTCACTTTCGCTTCGCCGTTGCGGCCATGATGACCATAACAACAAAATAACAATACATAGAAGGCCATCATTATCATGTTATTCGGCTATCTATGTGGTGTGGTGTGGTGGTCATACTTATTCATATATCAAGTAGTAGAATTTGAGGATGGCAGCATGGTCATTATTTTAGACAAGTGGTGTATGCCGAAAAAGCAGAATGTGAATTGGACGCCATTGAAGGAATACCATAGGGTTCTGAGAAATCTCTTGAGTGCATCATCCGAATGGGATAAGTTCCCAATAAAAAGAACATTTTATGAAACTGGTATTTATAGTACCTACCTATAATATTATTTTGATTATTTATTCTGATAATATTGATACAACCCTAATGCAACAGTGTTTTTTTTACCTACAGAAAATTTCGAAATAGCACAAAATAAACTGAAATATGCAGAAGATTTCAGTGATATAAATAATCGTAATGATCACGTCATTTTGACGCCATTAGGATGTCGTCATTTTGACGTCATTAGGATGACGTCATTTTGACGACATGAAAATGACGTCATTCGTCTTTGACTTAGAAGGTCATATAAACGTCATTATGACGTCATTTTGGAAGACATCCTGACGTCAGGCCTGACGTGATAATGACGTACAAATGACGTCAGCTTGTTACCTGGGAAGGGACAGGTCCTCCGCGACAGAGGGAGTTTCGTCACTGAATGTTACCTACAATGTGAAGTTTCGGAGCATCGGCTGGGGATAGTCCTGCACGATTCGCTGTTGCGTTCCAATTAACAGTGCTGCTCCTAAAGTGGCGTATAGAGTTAGTAACAGAGCCTACACAGAACACGCAGAAAGAGATGATGATGTGGTTGTGAGCATCTGAGAAGAAGTAGGACGGTGTATGTAGGTGGGTGTGGAAAACTACCAGCTGAGCGTGAGAGCGGGCCAATGCTGCTTAGTGGACCTCGCGGTCTCTAACGGGAGTTAACGAGAATAGCTAGCAGGCCTGCCACTGCAGCGTATGGTAGTGAGTACAATACAAGCCTACAGAACACAGCTGAAAAAACTCTGAAAGAGAGCTGATGGACGGTAGCTGAAAAGAATGTTAGCCAACACTCTTAAGCGAACCACATCACATCCATAGAACCGCTAGGCTTTGGAATTCATTGCCTAAGGAAGTATTCCCAACACCATATGATCTCCAGAAGTTAAAACAATTCCAATACCTACCTCCTGTCCCAATCCTCCCTAGGAACGCACGATGTTCTTTGAACATCATTGGGATTTCCTTTCGTGCGCTTCAAGCGATAAAAAAAACTCATTAAAAACACCTTAAGGCTTGCAAGAAGGTCCCATTTGGGACTTTGTTGCTGACGTGCAAATGTCCCCCACCAGTACCAGTCAGTACTTACCAATGATAAGAAGGAATGTTGCTAGGATCGAAATCTTTAACCTCATCATACCACAGCTGGGTGAGTTGTCTCAGAACGGGTTTGATTTGGAAGTTATCTGTTTGGCTATAGCTGGCAGCCAAGTTTTGTCCTACAGCCTCAAATTTAGCTGAAATTATTTCATGATCATCATTCTGGAAATGCAATCGATCTCATTCAAAAATTGAAAAGAAAATTAGACATTATCAATGCAGTCTCACCTGTTCTTCTGCAACGATCGTGCTCCAATGGATCTCCTCTGCAAGCATTCAGCCAACATTGAACGATGAATTCCAGTTCCCTATTATAAGTCTGAAAATTCCACACCATTGATTTTTATACAGTTAAATTGGGTTTTTTATGACAAATTACTATAGCAACGTATGTATTTTAGTGGAAATTTTTTTCTCGTGGGTACCCACCAGCGTATGAAATCGAAAAATTCTTTATGACTTCTTGATGACTTCAATTGGGTAGAAATCAACAATAAATAGGCTAAGAATCCATTGATGCCCTTTTACTGCAGTGTAAAGCGGCGTTCACAACCAAACTTTTTACGTTCTGCTTTTAACGTTTCGTATTTTGATTGGTGAAGCAGAATCTAAAATTAAACGTGAATTGAACTCATATGCAAATGTCATTCACAACAACAAAAAAATCAACGTGACTTTTCACGGCTTTTCTCAGCTGCCTTGGTTTTGTCTCAGTTTTGTCATTTGCGTTTCATCCTGAAATAAAGTGAAATAATCATAAAAATAATATTGATTGGATAATTAATAATATTCATAGAACTGATGGCGGTGATGTAATTTGATCCTCATTCAATACTTGAAGAGGAAAATCAATCCTCAAGAAGGAAATAATAAATTGACAGTATACCTATCTACTATTCCGTGGATTCACGAAAAAATCATGAGCAAAAACATTATCATAACTTCCATATAGAATGTTCCATACATGTATTGTTTTATTCGAATCAGAACTAACAGTAGTATTATCCATTTTTATAACAATATCATTTGTCTATTATTACTATTTTCACTTTTTGCGTTATTTCAATTACAGATTTTGCTTCACCAATCAGAATACGAAACGTAAAAAGCAAAACGTAAAAAGTTTGGTTGTGAACGCCGATTAAGGCGTCATGGAAGGCTAAAATTCGAAATCTCTGGTACTCTTACGCTTCAACAGGAAGATCAAATTACTAAGGTGGACGGATATACTGACCATCATCAGAAATCCACGGAAGTTCGAAAAGCAGAATTAGGAGAAAGAATAGAAGATATTATGTGCACATGACTTGTGCAGCAGAGGTCGGCAAAAAAAGGTCACTGGGGCCTACTCCTACTAGTATGTACCTATACCTATGAAACATTAATTGACAAAATTATAATTTCTTATCACTTGTAGTATTCCAAAGTTAATATAAAATGGAAGAATATGATATGTTACATTTCGAATTAGTTCTCGTCTCCGAATCGGAATAATTTTCAAGATATCCATGAGCTCGAAAAAATTTCCGGAAATAACTTGACCTCTAGTGGTATTATAAGTGAAAATATTAGAAATTGATTTGCAACCACTTTGAAGGCTCCTTTTCATAAACGTCAACGGGTGATTATCAGTAGTAATATCCCTAGATAATAGACGAGATAATTTTATGAAAATCGGAAACTCTTTCCTTGGAAACAGCTCGAAGCCAAAGACTGAGGGCTTGAGAAATTTCTCATAAAATTATAAGGTATTTTTCAATATCCGAGGGATATTTGGCGGAAAATGATTTGAAGTTGTCAAAGTCGATCGTAATAATTTCGAAATTCAATTCTTTTAGTAAATATTTAATCAGGTGCTTATTCTACATTATGAACTCTTTATTACTATTTAATTGTTGCTATCAGGTACCCAAGTTTAGTGTTTTGTTAATTGATTAGTGTTGATATCGGTTTTGACCTCTCCATGGAAAAATTAAAAGAAATATTTCTTCAATTAGAATGTTTTAAAATAAATCCATAGTCAACCATCAAAATTCAATATTTTAGTGATTTTGAGCAATTTTGAAAATTTTATATTCATTCATTATATATCATTTTAAAGGCTAAAAAATTAGGAATTTGATGACCTTATGAAATACAGGGTGTTCCATTTAAAAAATCATAGGTTTGAGTTGTATCTCCAAAACCATATCCCGAAAAAAAAATTCGAGTGCGCAACTGGATTCTGCGTGAATTTCTCTATGCGATAAGATTTTGATTTGACATTTTTGTTGAGAAACTTCGTAGATATAGAAGGGGTCAAAAAAGTATGAATTTTCAAAATCGCCCTGTATCTCATAAACGGAAACAGTTATGCAAAATCTGAGTAGGCCATCTTGAGTTTCACAAAAAAGTGGCACAGTACCGCGAAAACCGCAAAGTTCTATCTCCAAAGATAACTGAGATATCACGCAAAAGCATCGAAAACTAGACACACTTTACAATTCAAGCGATAAAAAAATGGATAGGTTCTGAGTTGGTAAAGCCAAATATGTCGAACCTCAGTCTCTCAATGGATATGTTCTGTTATTTGACAGCGGTTGTCTACTGATGACTACGGTTGTGGTTTATTTAAGGAATGCCACTCAGTTGTCAAATTATAGTTTTGATCGTTTTTTAAACATTCATGCTCTGCCAGTATTCAATTTTCAATTATGGCACCCAAAAGCCACTAATTATTGTGCAGAGTAGGCACAAGCATAGGATGTAGTGTCCTGAAATAGAAAAGAACGTAATCGAACTGAAAATATATCGGATATCATTGATTTACTTTAGTAAAAAAATCCATCGGAACTTAACCGTTACCACCGATACAACGAGGTCAGCAGACTCTGACGTAAACAGCTCGTGACGTCACCAAGAGAGGCCAGTGTTTTATTTCATCCTTTGTCGACTAACGCGTCAGTTCGTGTTAATTCATCCGTAATTCACGTATGTTTTTGAAACGGTCCCGAATTCTTTTGTTGTTTATTCATCAAAATAATTGGCGGAAGAATTACTGTTTTGTGAAATATTTTGTGTTGTGATCGGCGAAATAACAATGCCTTTCAAGTGTTGTGTTCCCTTTTGTCGGGGGAATTATGTGGGTGGTTCAAAAGTTCATGCTTTTAGTTTCCCGTTGGACGAGGAGCTATCGAAAATGTGGGTTTATGCAATTCACTGCGAGGATTTTGATCCATCTAAGTTCAGTAGTAAACAGAGCTCAATTTATAATGATGAATTAATAATAGAAGACAATTACTCTCTCATAAAAAGTATAAGTAGAGGAAAAATAGAAAAGCTTTGATTGTGCAGTTAGTTTCGTATTCGTATATTATAGTCAACAAAATCATCTCTGAATTCGAGGAAATTTTCTTGAATGTTCATGATGAACGGGCATTTTCAATTCTCATTCTCAAATTTTTTTCTGAAAACGGTCATTTGCCTCGTGGCAATTAATGCAGAATTCATTCCAATGATCAAATTGCAACTATCATATTAACATGAACTACAAACACTCTACTTAAAAATGTAAAACTGCATTTATCATTATATTCATCATGAAGATATTTGACTAAGAAGTTCCAAATTTCGCCTTCTTTTTCACCTGTCTTCTGGATGGCATTTAGAACAAATTTCCCTTCTTTTTTCATCATATTGGACAATTTATAAATAATTCAACTATAATTATGATTTTCTTGAGATTAATCCATATTTAGTGAAAAGAAGGAAGATTATCATTCAAAATAATGGCGTGTGTAATGTCATTCTAAAGCAATCTATTGACATTTGACATCTCGTAGTCTGATTGACTATTGATTAAATGGTCATCATCTGGAATGCTTGTTCACTAAATATGAAAAACTCGCCATAAAAATTATATTTCCTGTTGAATTTTCTATATAAAAATGTGCCATCGAAGTACATCATGAGTATATAAAGTATCCAATGACAAAATAAGAGCAAGTAGCTTCAAATGCCCCCAACACAAGGGGAGAAAGAAGGCGAAATTTCGAACTTCTTCTTGAAATATCTCAATGAATAGTGGTTTCTTCACATTTACATCATAAAATTCGGTTTGTCAGACAAAAATATGTGAGTACCGAAAGAAATTTTCAAAAAAAAAACCATCGCATGATAAATGTAGTTACACCCTTAAAAATTACGGTTTCAAGTGTAACGATCCACTTGGGTGAAAAATCCAACAACAGAAAATTGAAAACACTCACTGGTTATTTTTTCAGGTAATAGGAATTCTCCAAGATAAATACTTATAGGTAATTGTAACAAACGTAATGTCAATCAAAATAAAATACATTTTCCACAATTTTCTCTCGATCAATCTCACGATAAGTTCATGTTCTGCGGGCCCTGTATAAGTAGGTGTGAAGTTTACCTTCACCACAATTTTTGCCAATATATTCAATTCGAATGGGTTGCTGTAGGTGGATATTTGTGTTTTATCCTGGTTTTTGCTTCAAAACTTCGTTTTTCCATAATAAAATCGAATGGGGTGCGTAAAAGGGCTCTGTTGACGACTGGCATTGTTTTTCAACCGGAAGCCCTTCAAAAAACAGCAAAATCGGCTCAATGATGATCTAAAACTAAAATCGAAATACGCGGTCGCCTTATAGCGCTATAAGCGCTTGTCGTTTCGAGCCGCTGGTTAGGCCTCACTAAGTGACGTCACCCACGGAGCATGCAGGCCTTGTTGTATCGGTGGTAACGACTCAACGCTGTAAATACAATGAGAATATTGTTTTTCGTTGTAATTTGTGAATCGAAGAATCAAACCGAAGACTAAACACGTCAACGTCAACTCAAACAAACCGAACTCACCAGAGAAAATCCACGGTTGTTCTGGTGAGATTAAATCTACCGCTTTTTCAGCAACCGAGTTTCGTAAATAACCTTTTTTCAGAAATCAACCGAACATTATGTATTCACGGAACGCAAAACTACTAACCGAAATAACGAAGTTGATTTACGGAACATACCCTAAGCAAGAGTATACCCATAATATATGTTCAGCCATTTCGTCTTCCACCCAGCAGAACCTACAGTCCGTTTGTTGGTTCAGACCCATCCTTCCCAGGTGGTATCTTAAAAGACAGTGTCCCGTAAGCAGTCCTGTCAGAATTCGCAGGCTACCCCTGCTCCATTCTAGGATCTGCCTGGATATATTTTTCGATTGTTTAGGCAGAACTGCCTTCGAATGGGTTAATCCTGGTAATTTAGACCAGTACATGCATCTTTTCCCCTTCGTCCAGTCCAAGATAGTTGTTTCAGCCGCACAAGCGGTGGTCCCAAAGTATGGTTTTGTTCCTATGAACACAGATTCCTGTTTGGCGAGGATGTCGGCTTCCTCGTTGCCCTCCACTCCCTGGTGTCCAGGCACCCACAGCAAAGTAACTCTGTTGTTCGCACCCAGGCATTCTAGGGATTCAATACAGCTCCATACAAGCTTGGAATTTATTTATGCTGGAGCTCAGTGCTTTAAAAGCAGCCTGACTGTCTGATACCCTTTTATAAGGAAGAAGGACTATTTTTGTTACGCAGCTGACTTTCTAAATCGATTTATCTCGAAAATGGTGAGTGCTATCGAAACTAAACAGGAGTACTATTTTCCAGTAAAAAGGATGAGATTTTCATATTTCCTAGTCAAACTGCCGAAATATGCATAGAAAGAGAAGTTGGGGAAAGAAATGCTCCTAATCCTAATCGAAATCGTGCATGAGAATCAATATAGTTACAAGTACATACAAAACTCAACACTGAGGGTTTCGGACATATCTATGAAAAAACATCATCTCGGGCCCTCTTTCAGAAGGCTATAATTCTACAGGGAGGCATTTCTGGGCTCATGTTTGTGTTAACTTTTTTCACTATTTTAGTTCCTAGAATTTGTGGGTATATTCTTGCTGTTTAATTTCGGAACACCCTGTTCAGCTAGTGGTGGAAAAACCTTATTCCGACCTGAATGATAAGCCCCTTAATCGCGATACTGGATTTTGATTGTGGATACGGTAACAGGGTGGACAACTTACCAACTCTTTCATGTTTCTCGCAGGTGGTTGTCCTGGCTGCATTCCCATGGCAACTTTATTCCTCAATTCATTATGTTGATCCAATATCTGTTGTCTATGCTCATGGGTGAAACGAACCTTTCGAAAATCCGGACCGCAGCTTGGGTCTGGACCACATTCCTGAGACAGACAGAAGCATACTGTTTTCAAAAAGTTGTAGTTTCATACTGAATGAAAAACTGATTATTTAATATTTTCGGTTTTTAATGAAGTCATTATAAATGCGTATCGAAACAGCTTCTATTAGGACACGGTGATTTTCTCCTTTCAGAGTTGGTAATGATAACTCAAACTGTCAGACATGTTTGACACGAGAAGGACCGTGTTTTTTCATTGTTAACTATACTCATATTGAATATTTCTATTATATTCGGTGTTTTTATTTTTGATTCTTCATTCATGAAAGAGTATATAAATTGATGCATTATTACCATTGATGGTTAGTGTTGATGGTGACAGATACGCTGCGACTTGATTAGCTCTATTGTGCCCCATCTTCCGCTATCTCAAGGTTTTCTTGTTTATAGCAGCCCCTCAAGCTTTAATTCTTTTAGGAATCTGAGGATTTCGAGAGGATCTGTTTGAGGTATTTTTTCCACGGTCAGCTGGTATGCTCCCACTATATGCGATCTCTTGTGGGGTACAGCAAAATAGTTCAGCAAGGTGTGGTGGGTGTTTCTGGATGTTCCCCGCAGAATCTGTAGGTGCTGTCTTTCTCTTAGCCAAGATTTCTTAGGTGCTCTTTCATTCTACCATGCTGCGTTAAAATTTCCGTTATTGCTTTGTGGCTAATTTTGCTGAGATTGATCAGTGTCTTCGGTCTTGCTCAGTTGAAATTTTCGAAAAGATCTATGGTGTGCCACAGTCTTGGAGGTCTTTGCCAGTTGCTCTCATCGCATCCACAGCTTTATTAAAGCCGCAGAATGGTTTTGGTGCAATCAGTGGCGTTGATGCTCCTTTTCGGGCCAGGATGTCTGCTTGTTCATTTCCCTCCACTCCGATGTGCCCTGGCACCCAGAAAGGAATTACCTTATTGTTCCTACCTAGATTGTTGAGTTTGTCTAGACATTCCGAAACCATCTTCGACTTGATGTTGAAGGAGCTCAACGTTTTGATGTCTGCCTGGCTCTCGGACAGGATAACGATCATCTTGTTCCGGTATTTCCTGTCGAGGTTGACCTGACTGCGCCTTTCTATGGCGTGAATTTCTTTGGAACTCCGCACAAGTCTCGACTATCAATTATCGACTCCAATTATCTGTTAGATAATGATATGACACAGGCAAAACGAACTGAGTGACCAACCAACTATCCACCACTTTGATTTGTAGAGAGACATAAAATAGAGCTCATCCAGTCCATTGATGTGAGAACCATCATGTAGATGGAAAAATCAATTACAGGTAATGCGGAATGGCTCTACCAGAGAAGATTCGTCTAACTCGCCACTACATGCCCAGCTAAAAGTGTAAAAGTCCGGCAGAAGAGACTTTTTCTGAGAGGGTATCGCTTCTTCTGAATTCCTGATATTCATAAAAGAAACGTGCATGAAATCGCAGTACACAAAAACCAAACATATAGTTGCAATTGAAATTCATCACCACCGTCCCCCCCTGCCATTCCATGGAAGATATGTGTGGAGAAGGTTCCGTTCTGGACTTTCGAAGATCTGGTAGGCTTGCAGGGCAGCGGATAAATGTGACTGCAAGTGTGGATGTAAGACAAAACACTTTAAACGCCGAGGAAGCATATTACCCTGCCACCTGGGATGCACAAATGGGAAATATGCAATCAGCAATCAGTAAGTTAACCTGGAATTTACTCTGAATGGCCCAGCATGACTAGAATATTATTTTTTCCAGATAATGATCTGAACATTCTTCGTGAAAATCAATGGTTTCGCATGTGGTAGAATTTTTGTCTTCAAACATCAAGAAGTGAAATTATCTATCGGGTAGGTCACAATGCACGAATATATGTGGTAAGGTAAGGTTTGATATTAGATGAATTTCTTCAGGCGTCCCGCAAGGTAGTGTCCTTGGGCCCTCACTTTTTTCAGCTCACACAGCGGATTTTTATCAATATCTTGAGCTCCGTAAAATACATTGATACCCTGATGATACCCAGATTTTCTCAGATTTTCCCATAGAAGAGTCCATTTTCTGATATATATCATCTGGGGAAACTTGTAGAAAACTCTAATTTGAAACTTAATGAACGGAAAACTGAAGTTATTCTCTTTGGAAATTCCCGTGCTCAAGTTGAAAGTAGTCAATTGTTCAAAATAAAAGTGAAAGATGAAACGATAACATGAAAACAGTGCTGCAAAATCCTTGGATCATTATTTGTATCAGACTTGAGATTCAAAAGTCAAGTAAATTAGTTAGTAGAAGAATTATAGATAGATAGATAGAGTTTATTTAACTATGTTACATACAAGTATGTTTATAGCAGGTCAGCAGGGCAAGGGAAAAGTAGCACAGTAAAGTATCAATACTAACATATTAAAATACAATATAGTGGTAATTTTGAAAATGTGATAAAAATAATTAGTATCTGTAATATATATCAAAGGATTACATGACAAACGTATATGATATGATAAAAAATGACAAGTATCAATAAAATAAAATGAAAAAAATTTGAAAAAATCACATAAATGAATAGATAAATAATAAGATCAATTAAAAAGTTATAATAACAATGGCAAACATAAAAGCTTTGTTGCCCTATGTAAGTCTAAGCTCTAAATGATCTCGATTTTTAGAGGTATTCGAATATACTGTAGAAACAATTGTCAAGAAGATATCTTTTGATTGTTGTTTCGAATTTTTTTGGTTCCAGTAGTTTAACTGATTCATGAAGAACATTGTATAGATTGAAATTCAAGGAATTCTGTTGGCTTACAACTAGTCTATGTCTTTGAAGATTCAACAAGTCTGAGGATCTGGTGTTGTAATTATGTATATCCGAGTGCTTTACGAATTTGCTCTTGTTATTATGTATTTCCAGTAGAACTGTGAAAATATACAGTGTAGGGAGTGGCATAATACCTAATTTGATGGAGGATTGTTCACAATGATCTCCATACTCAAGATTTGCTAGAATTCTTATAACCCTTTTCTGTGACCTGAATACCCTATTCGCATCAAAAGAGTTGCCCCAAAGAAGAATGCCATAGGATAAGACAGAGTGAAATAGAGAAAAGTACGTGATTTTCATTACATCCATATTAGTAACAGGTTTGAGTTGCCTCAATATGAATAAAACACTAGATAACTTACTAAGCACCTGATCTACATGACTGGACCAATTTAATCTATCATCAATTTTTAAACCCAGTAGTGTAATATTATGCCCTTTTTGATACAGAGGATTTAAGGAGACGATCAAGTTTTGAGTTTTGTTTTCGTTTAGTTTGAGTTTATTTCGCGTAAACCAATTTTTTGCAACGTTCTTTTCGAGTTCAGCAGCTACTGGTAGTGCGTAATGCAGCTTACCCGAGCTTATGAGGGTGGTGTCATCAGCAAATGAAACGCATTTTCTAGGTTCGATAGACTGACATAAGTCGTTTATATATACTAGGAACAGAAACGGCCCAAGGACGGATCCTTGAGGTACGCCATGTTCGATATGTTTGAGATCTGATTTCTTGTTGTTTAAATCAACATACTGATACCTATTGTTCAGATAGGAACTGATGAGTTCTGAAATGGTACCTCTCAATCCGTAATGAGCCAATTTGTCAATGAGTATGGTATGTGATACACAGTCAAAAGCCTTGGTCAGGTCGCATTATGAACTGAAATTACTTTACATATGTATAGAGATATTCTTAGAACAAACCAAGAATTGAAACTCTGCGACTCTCTTATTTTGTTAAGAATTTCATATGGAGATATAGCATTCTGGCCTGATAGATACAAAACAAGTCTTCAAAAGGTACGAAATTCTTGTGTAAAATTCATCTACAATTTGAGAAAATATGGTCATTTTAGTTCACAGTTTGCTGAATCAAATGGGCTGAATTTGAATGAACAGTGCATTCTCCATACCTGCTCTTTGATTCACAAAATCAATAAATATAAAGTTCCGCAATACTTGCATAATAAACTAATAAGGGTAAGAAATGTCCACGACAATCTGATCAACCAGAAATAATGATTTCTACGTAATACCAAATCATAGAACAGCTCAGTTTCAGAGATCATCCACATATATTTCCAAATATTCAATGAGTTACCAAGTTTTATAGAAGATGCTCCAAATATAAACTCCTTCAAGAGACATGTTAATTTCCGCCTAGTTGAAGTGCAGACTCATCTGTGAAGTTCCTACCATGATTGTGTGTTATCTAGATGCGAAGATGAGATATTTATGTTATGAATAGTAAAATGAGTCTGATATTTATTGAAGGATCTGCTATATCCTCACCTGTGCACTCCTTTGACAAACTGTATGCATTGGAGCTCCATAACAGTGCAAATCACAGTAGCGGTTAATCTGTGAATATACTCCTGCTACCAGTAATAAGGATAATAACGTGAATAAACTAGTATCAATCATGGTGCTGAAAGGATATTATATATTCTAATCTTTTGGAAATTCAGATTCTGGATTCTTTTATAGCCAAGCCAAGTGCAAGCTTTTTTTGTTTCCATCATTAGTTCGGTTCTATATGAATCGTGTTTTGTTATTGATATCGTTACTCGACACTGTCCACAAAAAGTTAGTCACTTCTTACTTTTCTTCTTACTGTAGCTGGGCTTTTTGTAACTGATAAATCAAAATTCGATACAATACGGAAATGGTGATAAAGAAGGATGTTATTTTTCAGGTACAACAACTAAGATACATATTTTAATCAGTTTGACAATACAGTCCTATTTCTTGAACTTGTTCTGGAAAGAGAATCAGTTTTATTTCAATTATTTATCTGAAAAAGAGGCAATCACGAGATTCAGAGATATTGCGAGTGATGAAAATATAATACCATCATCTCTATATGTTTTAGATTTCTGCTAGACTCCTCTCTAGTTTCACCTGCTTTTGGAATCTGAGCATATTCTTCGTATTGGAGTTACTGGCTGATAAGCATTCAGTTTTATGATTGTTTCAGGAAAAAATATTTCACCACGAGGCAAATATTGATAACCAAAATGACATAAAATCATCAAAATATCAATTGTTCAATTTTATTGCTCTAGACTTGAGTGTTCACATTCTGTGATAAGGATTTATAGTCATAGCATTGGATAGTTGAATTGTTCACAATCACGAAACCAACGTTATTTGCCAGTTTATATAGGGCGTATATGTAGAAAAGACTAGAACATTTCATGTAGAGGTATCCAAGTCAATTTAAATGCGCGAGCACCTAACTGATATACAGTGTATTTCCTAATATGTGGGACGCACTTCGAGAGGTTATAGGGCATCCCATAGAAGGCTTTGTTTGCGAGAGAGATAAAAGCTGTTGAAGTTAAAAATATACATAGAATAAGATTCCAAATGGAAGCATCGTAGATAGATACAATTTCAACACTCAAACACATTTTTATTCACTCAGGACGGCTTGTACAAAGATGACCGTTTATATGAATACAACATCAGGAGCTGGTATTTATGGGGCCAAGCCAAAGACAAGAATTTCACTGAGCTTAGGCAAATACGCGACGGTGTTTCAGGTAGAAATTATTGCAATACATCATTGCGTGGAAGAACTGATAAGGCAAAAGTTTAAAGGCAAAACCATTGCAATCTACTCAGATAGCCAGGGGGCAATCAAAGCAGTCAACTCTATGCAAGTTAACTCAAAACTTGTATGGGACTGCTTCGAAACCCTAAATGCACTGGGCAGTCAGAACAGATTGACTCTAGCATGGGTACCAGCACATACAGGGTACGAGGGCAATGAAGAGGCAGACTCACTTGCCCGAGCAGGAGTAAACAGAGCTCTTAATGGCCCAGAACCCTTCTGTGGTATTGCGAAAGCTTTACAAAAGACTAGTATCAAATCATGGATGCAAACCAAATCTCAAGAAGAGTTTATTGAAAGACCATCGCCAACATTCACAGAATATCTACTAAGCCAGAAACGAAGTTCAACAAGAATACTAGTGGGACTTCTCACAGGGCATTATAGGCTCAACAAACACATGAGTACGATAGGTCTGACTGAAGAACTGCTGTGCAGGTTCTGTCAAGAAGAGGAAGAAACAGCAGTACACATACTTTGCCACTGTGAGGGCTTGTCAAGACTAAGGTTCCTTACGCTGGGTGAGGAAAAACCAGGAGCCCAGAGATACACAGGAGATCTGAAAGTTAGCCTATGGAGTCTCATAGAGAAGGTGGGGCTAGCCGAAGAACTCTAATCGATTTGAGGGCAGACACAATAGTTCTGAAAAGGTCGCAGTGTGGAGGCAGATAGCCCGAAGGCCCCATTCCAAATCTAAATACAACATCGACAAGTGATTCGTTCTGATGCTACGATGCTAACGATACAACCTGATTCAATCTTCGATCACACGGTGATTACGAATACCGATGAGTCGTCGAGACCGCTTGTGATAAGGCATTCCTTAGGCGTTCTTCTCAATTACGGGGTGATTTCAACATCGTTGCTAACAATAGATTGATTTTATGTCCAACCTGAATGGCTTATCGTGGTGGCTATGAATTGAGTATGTTATGTGACATAAGAAATTTTGGAGTTGAATGGGGAAGTTTCCTTCAGATGAATTTTCATAAAATAAGTTCGGATCTCTCCAGTTTTATGTCCACGCTGTACAGAACGGCGACCGTTAAACTTCAAGTCGTTTTCCTTGTAAAATTAAAGCAATTTCTAATTTTCGAGGCGACAAACTGTAACGTACATTCTGAATCTAGTCAGAAAATAGCTGATGGTGAAGAATATAGCTGGCAAATAGCCAACGAATAGCTGGCGAATAGCTAACGACCCACACAGCACATGTATGTCCAATGTACGTCCACGTCGGATCGTAAGGACGTCCAATGAAAGTACTCGAGTGGACGTTTAACATCCTATGGACGTCCACTGGATGTCCTGATGACACCACTTTGGACGTACTGTGGATGTCTTCATGTGGATGTACAGTGGATGTTCATATTTGGACTCACAATGGATGTACATGTCTGAGCATCCATTGGACGTACCAAATTGGACGTTAAACGTCCAATGAAAGTCCATTGGATGTCTTGAGGACACCACTTCGGACGTACATTGGATGTTTACATGTGGGTGTATAATGGATGCTCATCTTTGGGAATCAAATGATGAAAAATCAGTAGATATCAAATATAGCTTCTTCTATTGAGATATATATTTGGTGTCGATTGCATATATATAAATACATTGTTGATTCATGTCTTCTTCAGTCCATTTCAAATTCTTGTTCCTGTAGTGAAAGAGAAATATTATATGTTGCTATATAGGTAGAAATCGATTGTCTATACCCCAAATCCTGTTCAGCTCAACTCTGACTGGTGAATGAAGCCTTATTCACATTATTGCTATATACTCAGGTACTTTTTCTATCAAACCGCCCATTAAAAATGAATAACAACCTGTAGGATGATAAAGCATAAGATTATAACTATATTAGATAATATATGAAGTCACATTCGAACATGCATGCTTTCATACCTACTTTGAATGATCTGGTTCTGAATATTCTGCATTCCACAATTCATCACAAACACAACATTTCATGTTCACGGTCATTTACCAACTGAAAATGGCATCAGAATCACGCCAGACGCTACCGCTACTCTACCGACCGATCTGACCTTCTGCCTCCCATCCACGTGGATGAATAATCAATATCCTTACGTCCATCTCTGAACGTACAATGAACGTTCATTTAACGTCCATAAACCTCCAGATTCAAAATGATTTCATGCAGACATTCACTTTGAACAATTATTTATATACATATAAATATAATGTTCATTCTTCATCCATTAACGCTCGAACTCAGAATGGCCGTTAAATGGACATCCAATGTAAGTTTAATTTGAATCATCCAATGTACGTCCGTCTCTGTACGTACAATGGATGTTGATCAAACGTCCACGAGTGTTTTAGTCCTTGAGTTGACATAAAATGGATGTCCAACAGACGGTAATTTTGAAACATATATTGTACATCCATCTTTATAAGTACAATGAATGTACATTCTACGTACATGCGTGGTTGGACATTGAGTGGACGTTGTACGTACATTGAATGTCCATTCAATGTCCATGGACGTTTGGAATTGAAATGAACCTAAAATGGACGTCCAATGCATGTCATGTGCTGTATGGGGAATAGCACACCAATGAAAAACGAATGAAAAAATCAAAGGAGAAATAAAACTGGTAAACAAAAACATACCTAATCACAAATACACTCGGAGCAGGAATGCAGAAGGTAGTTGGCTTTTTTTTCTTGTTTCTTTAACATCGGCCTTTTTCTGCTACTGAGGCTAATTACCGACGCCGGTGAGCACACTATACCTCCAACCGGAAATTTTGCCAAATCCTCTGGTGTTCCAACCAGAGGTGGGGATCTTTAACGAGTCCAACATCCATGGCCTCGGGACCGCTGGCTTAACGTCCCCTCCGAAGGACGGCATATCCGTACCATAACTTGTGCTCATTGATATGGTAGCTGTAGCTATGATATGCTATTTCGCTACAGATGTGCGGGCTTACGCGGCGTTTCCTCGAACTCATCCAAGTACTAACCGCGCTCGACAACGGCTAGAGCCTTACCTGAGAAGCTAGGGCGACGCCCCAAGATAGTTGGCTTCATTCTGACAGGTTATCGTTTTGTTATTTATGTATCGAAATATCTGGAATAGAGCTCGATCCTACTCGGAAATATCATTGAATCACTATCGGCTACATTCAATGATACTATTCTTCCTAATTTACTGCCATCAGTCAGAACAAAATGAAGCCGACACCAATGGCTCCTTCCTCTTGTTGTGCCTGCCAGTATTTTGAGTGGTGTGGGCGCTGTTGCAAGATATAATCTGCAACTTTCCTAGAAAATATGGATGCGTTTTGTCAAGGAACTAATTCATTAGCAAAAATATGACTGACAAGTTATGAATAACATATTGTAGTATAACGATAGTGAAAAATTATAGATACTTTCTCGAAATATCATGATTTATCAACTTCATTAAGCCAATGAGAGATTTATGGGAATCATTCATAATACTTGACAAAGTTACCTATCATTACTGTTATGATATAGTTATTATGCATTCAAAGAACAATTCCCGGAAATCTAGACATATTGATGGTGTCGGCAACGTCGTACTGGAACTGGGAATCGTATTTCAACTGTGTGTTGATGTGGAATTTCAGAAAGTAAGTCATAGTGGTGGAGGATCCTAGTTCCTCTTTTATTTATTTTTTTTCTGAAGTGAAATTTGATTTTATGAGAAGAAGAAAAAATACGTAGATATTATTTTTTCACAAACTTCACAGTGAGATAAAAACCTCAAAAGAGAAAACTTCTCTATTTGTTTATTCGGTTTTTCTCGAAAGCA